TCTGACCAACCAACCAACCAACCAACCAACCAACCAACCAATCAACCAACCAGTCAACCAACCATCCAAACAGCCAACCAACCAGCAATCTTTTTGATGATACGAGCAAACTGATTGATGGTGTATTCATCCGGGTTTCCCAGATTGACGGGCTGCGTGTAGTTGCTTGCCATGAGAGCCATCAATCCATCGACCAGGTCACTAACGTACTGGAATGAACGCGTCTGGCTACCGTCCCCGTATACCTGAAGGTGAAATTTTTTTTGAATAAATTATAGTAATTTGCATAATGTGTATGTACATTTTTTGAATAAATTAAAGTAATTTACACAAGTCCTGTACATGAATTTATAATTATCTTCATCGTCATCAGGCCTCACTCACGGTGATTGGTTGATTCTGAAGTGCCTGTAGTATGAAGTTGCTGACGACTCTGCCATCATTCATGTGCATGCGGGGACCGAATGTGTTGAAGATCCTTGCCACACGTATGTCTACTCCACCCTGTCTTCGTGTACGTGTGTGTGTGTGTTTCTTTCTTTGTTTGCTTGCTTGTTTGTATGTAATATATGCGTGTATGTATAAGGTAAATCTATGTCTATATACGGACGAATGTGTGTACATGCAACGGCAACAAGCAACCAACAACAGCAACAAACAAAGCACTAGCAACCTGTTTATGATATGCATAGCACATTGTCTCAGCAACCCTCTTGCCCTCGTCGTAGCAGGCCCTGGGACCTATGGGGTTCACGTGACCCCAATACGTTTCCGGTTGTGGGTGCACTTCTGGGTCTGAGAGAGGGATTGAATGAATGTGTGAATAAATGGATGAATGACCAAATGGACAACTGATTAACACTCACCTCCATAAACTTCAGATGTAGATGCGAGCAACAACTTGGCTTTCACTCGTTTTGCAAGACCTGCATCATGAAAAAACGTAATACAAGATGATACAAAACAATACAAAAATAATACAAACTAATATAGAATAACACAACAAAACAACGACAACAATATAAAAACCACAATAGCATTAGTGACAATAAAGCCAAATAAACGGATACTCAGAGACAGATTGACAACAAACAAAATTCAACAAACAGACAGACAGACAGACAGACAGACAGACAGACGGACAGACCGACCAAGCATATTAATGGTACCCAAGGTATTTGTCTTGATGGTTTTAATAGGGTTGTACATGTAGTTGGGCGGAGAAGCTGGTGATGCTAAGTGGTAGATCTCATCCACTGTGGTGATTGAATGATCGAAAGTTAAATGAATAGACAAATGAATGCATAAACGAATGAATGAATGAATGAAGAATGAATGAATGAATGAATGAATGAATGGATAAATGAATGGGGGAATGGATAAATAGACGAATGAATGAATGAATGAATGAATGAATGAATGAATGAATGAATGAATGAATGAATGAATGAACGAATGAATGAAAGGATGAATGATGGTTTGCAATTCCAATTTTTCGTACCGAAATATAATGAATGAATGAATGTACAAATGAATGAAAAAGGTGAATGAATGAATGAATCAACAAGTGCCTGACGAAAAACTGTTTCTTTATATTTTTATTCCTTCCTTTATGCATTCATCTACTGATTCAATCTTACAGCAATTGAAACATTAATCAAATATTTTCATCTGCTCACGTTAAATTAGCTAAAAAAATAGAAGTTAATTTGAGTCTCAATAAAATACAATAACTTAATTTTTATAAACAAGCCAACGATCTAACCGATTAACTATTCACCAACCAGCCAACCAGCCAGCTAGTCAACCAATCAGCCACCCAACCAACCAATCAACCTTCTATATGCAATGGATTGATGATATCATGATTGAGTAGTTCAAAATTCTCGTGTCCAATCCAATGTTCGACATTTCTTCGTCGACCAGTGAAAAAGTTATCAGCGACAGTGACCTCGTGACCTTGCAACATCAGCTGATCAACAAGGTGCGAGCCAACAAACCCTGCACCTCCCGTTACCTGCATAGAAAAAAAAACATATTTTCCAGTAAAAAGTATAAACATAGATACTAAAATTTCACTATTGAAAAAGTTTAAAATGAAATATTAAAGTAAAAACAAAAAAAAGATTAAGTAATTTGAATGTATGTTACATGTCTACCTCATTTTGAAATGCTGTTTAGATGATTTATTTTGTTTTGTAACGTGTTTGACTACTATTTAGTTAATATATTCTCAGTGCTTGGTGCAAAAAGAAGATAGTTTAGCATGAAAAAATGAAACATAGTACATTCAAACCAGAATTCTTTTGCGATTTGTGTACGATAGGAACTGGACTTCTGGAAATGGTTTTCTGCTAAAATGAATTTAATATATGACTTAATTCATTAATTTACTTGTTTAATTATTCATTAATTTTTCAATTCAATGTTCTCTAACTTATGAAAAAAATTGATGTATTTATAAAATCCATCAGAGGCACATTTTTAGATTTAATAAGCATTTGCCTAAAATTGTCTATAACTTATAAGAAGAGGAAAAACTAATTCCATATAAAAACAACTAACTATATAAATGCAAATTGCTAATACAACTAATGGATACATTTTTTAACAACCATCCTTTCAATATTTCAACAATTTTCAGACATACCAACAACAAACACACAGCATATGTGAATCAATCACAACACACACACATTGCATAGGATAGGTGGAGATCTCAATGCATTTGAACATAGTCAGTACAACATCAATGACAGGCATCTTAACCATTACACTGTACTGTAACAAAATATGAAACTCACTCAAGCCTCTCCAGCTGTCTAATTTTGTCTTGCAGCATAAAGATCTTATCTGACAGTTCATCTTTTGTTTCTACTTTTATTTTTATGTCATCTCCTCTATGTTCATATGAAAATCTGTTAGTGATGTTTGTTGAATCAATGCTTCAGATTTAAATGTATATCCATATTCTTATTACATACTATAAACTAACAAAAATATATAAACATTAAAAGGTAATTTTTAATTAATTAATAGTTAACTAATTAACATATTAACTTGGAATAAATTAAATTAAAGTAATTAATTAAATTGATGATAAACTCACTGTTTTTGTGGTACAGTGTTGGTGATACTTATTTCATCTTGAAGTTTGGAATAGGCATAAACTATATTATATATGAAAAGTTTTAAAATAAAAATACTAAAAATTAAATATAAAAAACAATTAAAAATATAAAAAACTTATTTATTAAAAATTAACATTGATTTATTAATTTGTTATATTAGTAATTTTTTTATTAAATACTGAAAAATTTTAGATTAGCATTAGAATTAAAATTCTAGAAAGATGTTTATCTCGCCATCACTCAATTGAGAAATATATATATTTTAAAAACATTCACTAATTCCTAACAGATTCAAAGATTAACTGTACTTAAGTCTTAATTAAACTTAATTAAAAATATAAATTTACCTGTTAAAAGTAGCATGATGAGTAATGTCATCATGAGAACAAACTTCAGTTTTGTTGAAAAAACTTTGCCCAAAATTCTCTTCAGAATATTCATCAAATTAAACAAATTTTTATTATTATTACGTTTCATTGAATTAAATTAAAATAATCACATTTGTTTAATAAAAATATGTTAGATAATTAATTAGATATTAATAAACAAAAATTGAGTATAAATAGGGCAGCTAAAGGAGAATTCAAGTTATAAGAACATAGAATTTTACTTAAAATTGTTACAAGATGAACATTCTATATATCAATCTTCGTTTTGCGTTTTGCATAATATAATATATATATAACTCTATATATTATTTATATAATTAAAAAATTTAAAGTGGTTCAGTAGACTAGCATCTGTGTAGGAACCACTACGAAATAAATGTTCTAGTATCCTAGCTTTTTTAGCTTGTTTTTAAAATTGTTGATTGAATCTATTGAGACAATTTCAACGCTCAGTTCAACGGATATAAAAAAATGCCAAACCACTAAATTAAAAAATTGTTATGTTGTCTAAGTTGGGGTTTTCCAGCACCTAAAAATAAACTTTCTTCTTATATTTTCTCTAATTTCAATTTAAATATGGTCGTCTGGAGGGGTGTACGATTTTTTTTCAATTTTTTTACTTTTTTTGTTGAATAAATCTCGTGCCAGTACATTTTGAATTGATTGAGAGTTTAAATTTTAGATCTCACGTTTATTCATTTATAATTCTATTTTACTAAAAGTTAAAACTAAAATTTTTTGTGTGAATTTGATTAATTAGTCAATTGTACTTTAGTTTTAGTAATTAGTTTAGTTTAGTTAGTTAAGTAATCGTGTTACTGTAATCATTATTATTATTATTATTATATATTAGATTAGTGAACACTGAACAGTGATGGATGGATTAAAATGTTTTTCCTGTTTCTCGTCAGAAGATGCAAAAAAATCTAGGGAAAGGACCAAATCAATAGACAGACAGCTGTCTTTGGAACGTCAGAGACAGAGGGCCACTGTAAAAATTCTTCTGCTAGGGGCCGGCGAGAGTGGCAAAAGCACATTTATCAAACAGATGAGGATCATAAATGGTAAAAAATTCACCGAGGATGAATTGAAAATGTACAAATATATTGTCTACAGCAACATTGTGATGGGCATGAAAGTCTTAATTGATGCCACTTTAAAGTTAAATTTGGGTTTTGAGAAAGAGAATAGTATGAAGAATGCCAACCTGGTGTTTAGTTTTGATCCTAACATTAACCTGGAAGAGCCAGTCTTCCAGCAGTATGTTCAGGCAATTGGGGAATTGTGGGAGGATGCCGGAGTCCAGGCTGCTTATTCAAGGAGGAGGGAATTTCTTCTGGTCTGATACTTTTTTTATTAAATAGTACTTAGTATTATAAATCTTTTTTTCTAATCTTTTTCTAGTTTTTTATTGATTTATTTATTATTGTCAATTTTTTTCTTTACCTCTTTAAAAATTAAATATAAATCTACCATTTAATTTAACTTTTTATTTAAATTATTCATAGTCAAGTGCTTAAAAATAAACTTTTTTTTACAAAAAAAAAAATTAGGGAGATTCAACAAAATATTTCATGGACAACTTGGCAAGAATATCACAAATGGTTAGCAGCGAGCAACAAAAATTGTTGTGTTGCGATATTGCTTTGCAATGTTGGACTGCTAAATTGTTAATAATAGAATCCTCCTTTGTCTACTACTTCCTCCACTTATATTTTATTAATCTCTCTCGCTCTCTCTCTCTCTCTCTCTCCCTCTCTCTCTCAGTTCGTTATTGGTTATTGTTAACAATTTATGAACGAATATATATATAACATTTTTAGACCAAATTGTAATTTTCAAATTTTCTGCTTAGTTTACAATAAAAATGTGTGATTGATTATTCATTCTATCATTTTACAAATTGTAGTAATAATTAATTTTATATCTACCCCCTTCCATAGAACTACAAACCAACGAATTCAGATATATTGTACTCGAGGAAAGCAACGAAGGGCGTAAACGAGCATCGGATTGACATCAACAATGTTCATTTCAATTTCATCGATGTCGGAGGTCAAAGGTCACAGAGAGGGAAATGGTTCAACTGCTTTGGGGTCTGTTTATGTTTTGTTTTTGCTGCATGTTGTATGTTTTTTAAGTCTATTTGTATGTTTTGAATTTTTTTTTGTCATTCAGTCATTTTTAGTACTAAATTAGTTTTAAATTAGTTATGAAACAAATATACTAGAATTAATTTTTGTATATTTGTTTATTTGTAAACTTTTCAAAAGTTTTTAAAATATTTATAATCTTCTTTCTTAAAAAATCAGGAAGTCACGTCCATTTTGTTTTTAGTCTCTTCAAGTGAGTTCGACCAGAACATATACGAAGACCGCAAAACCAATCGACTTACCGAATCTTGCAACATATTTCGTTTCATAGCGACTCACAGGCTAATGCTGCAGGTTGGTTGGGAGTCATTTTTATTTCTTTGGTTGTTTCTTCAATTTTTTTTTATTGTTTGGAAATTTTGTCCACATTCTACTTTTAGTTATTCTCACAGAGTAAATCTAACAAAGAAATAATAATTTTTACCTTAAATGGTTTTCTGTTTCCTCATTAGTTAGTGTATCCTTTTTTAATGCCTTGGACAGACTGGGTTTGTAGTGTAATTAATTTTATATATTTTTCTCATTGCAATTACTTTTTTTCATTTGGTTGATTGGTTATTTTTGCATGAGTGTGTGTGTGTGTGTATGTGAGAGAGAGTCTGTTTGTTTGTTTGTTTGTTTGTTTGTTTGTTTGTTTGTTTGTTTGTTTGTTTGTTTGTTTGTTTGTTTGTTTGTTTGTTTGTTTGTTTGTTTGTTTGTTTGTTTGTTTGTTTGTTTGTTTGTTTGTTTGTTTGTTTGTTTGTTTGTTTGTTTGTTTGTTTGTTTGTTTGTTTGTTTGTTTGTTTGTTTGTTTGTTTGTTTGTTTGTTTGTTTGTTTGTTTGTTTGTTTGTTTGGTTGTTTGTTT